TTTTTAGAGTAGGCGATAAATAGGGGGCGTAGGCAAAAATAGTAGGCATATTTCGTTAAAATCACGCCTACTATTTTAACTCACGCCTATTAAAGGTGTTGTTCTTAATTAACCACGCCTCTTTTTTAAAGTAGACGATAAATAGAAGGCGTGGTCAAAGATACTAGGCGTGGTTTAGTATAAAAACATAAATTAAAAGGGGCGTGGTGTAAAACTCACCTTTCTAAACGTGGCTCTAAATAAAAAGGAAGTTATAATGTTTTTTAACCCAACTTTTTGAATTTTATATCCACTACATATATTGTTTTAAATTATTTTGAATTTAATTTTTTTTACAAATTTTCTTGAGATGAAAGAAGGTAGAGAGAAAAATTTTGTGTTTTTCCCCTTTTTTTAATATTGAAAACATTGATAAATGATGAAGCTATGAGTCATGAGATAACGGAAAATGGAAATTTCAATATTTTTCTTTTGTGTCGAATTGTGGGCGGGTGGAGGAGGAGTAGTAGTAGTAGTAGTAGTAGTGGGAGGTGGTGAATATGTCGATTTTCCCTACGGTCCAAAAAGAGGGTAACAAAACGTGTAAGGATATGAATCTAATGGCTTGGTTTCAATGGAATAAAGTTGACCCAGTTGCAAGGGAATTATACGGAAAACCTCGAAGCATTATAGAAGGTAACGTTGGTGGTTGAGAAGAATTGCAAATGGCAAAGACGAATGAAGCTGCTGCTGCTGCTGCTGCTGCAGGTTTCTGCTGCGTCTCGCGAAATCCAAGAGAAAACTTCTTGGTAATTCAAGTCGAGAAAAGTGAAGGTTTTTCTTTATAGTTGGAGAATACTTTATGATATAACGATCAGGTATTATTTTCTGGGGCTGTAAAAAATTATTTTAAGCAGGGAAATTTTTTTTTTTGAAAATCTTTTTTTAAATAAGGCGATGCACACTGGGGGCGAATGGCGAATTTAGTACGACAAAATTATTTACTTTTTAGAAATTATGAATTCAATAAATTTGATTAAAAGTAGGTGTTTCTCAAGGTTTTTGGAATCGTTGGTTACGAATCTGATGTTAGTTTTTAAAAATTCAAAATGGCGGATCCAATATGGCTGACAACTTTTTGAAAAGTTTATCAAATTTGCTTCAAATTTATTAGTCGAAGGCTTTTAGGGACGCTGATAACGAATCTGATGTCGGTTTTTAAAAATTCAAAATGGCGGATCCAATATGGTGTACAGTTTATTTTGTTGGATCGAATTTGCTTCAAATTTATTACTTTATTAATATTATTTTTAACATATTTCATAATAAAAACAGTATACTATTATCTACCCAACATATGATAATAATTGCTAGTTAAAATAAAAGTTATTTTTAAAAAATTAATAATTACTAAAAAAATTTTTAAAAATAAAATAAAAATTTATTTTATTGAACTTTAAACTGTAAATTCACAAAAAATTGTCTAATATAACATTAATGAACGCTATAGATGCAAAGTGATAAATTAACGTGCAAACTAGAAATAAATAATGAAACCAATTTACACTTTATTACAATGTATATTATTATTTATTCTTTATTAAGTACTTAGGTATTTTTTATGTGTGTATTTTATTAAAATATTTACATATTAGGTAGTTGAGAATATAGAGTCATCACTTGGGTGCACTCGTAATAAACTGAAAATGCCATCTTGAGTAGCAGACGTGCTGTAAACAGCGCCCCGAGTGACGATCCAAATAACCATTACGTAACGATAATAAATTATAAATTAATCTCCAAAAGAAAATAAAATACGTTAAAAGTTCCCCTTTTTTATAAAAATAACAATTTTTTTTATTTTTACCCCCCATGGAATTTATGCAAAAAAAAAAAATGCAATTGCAGATGTAATTGGTGTAAATGAATCTTGTGTCTGAAAGCTAGTGTGTCATGAGATAGAAACAGTGAAACAAGTCTTTTGTTTTGTTTGAAATGCATCACAGCTTGCGGACAGCTAGTTTATTTTTTTTTTTATTTCTTTTTTTTATCTCGATTTTATATAACAAGCTTATCAGTGAAAGCGCGAGTATAAAAATGTGTGTATGTGTATCGGGCAAAAAGAAATTTTTTTTTCATATATATGTACACGTATTTTTCGAGAGAATGAGTTCGTGCTCTAGATTAAGGCACTTTTTATATTTATATTATCCGAAAGCTGATCACGTTCCTTTTTTTTCTCTCACAACTGCGAATGGCACTTAACCGTTATTAGATATTGCACTTTTCAATGTCAATATTAATTTTTTTATTTTTTTTAAGTCTTGAGAATTTTTTCTCCAGGTAATTATGTCTTTCAATGTAAATTTTGTTGATTTTCTTTTGTAATTTTCTATTTGAGTGATTTTTTTTTGTTAAAATTTAATTATTTTGAAATATTTTTCTTTTCTTTATTATTTATTTATTATTTTAATTACTTTTCCTAGCTACTTGTTTTTTTAATTATTATTTAATTATTTTTATTAGTTATTTGAATATTTAATTATTTTTAAACTATTCACTATATTTACTTGCTTAATTATTTATTTATTTAATTATTTTTTACTTTAGAACTAGAATGTTATTTTTCACAGTTGCTCTTTGATTATTTCATTTATTTTAAATTTCAATAATGCTAAATTTTTAAATCACAAAGAAAATTAAATTTTATTTTAGGGATACTATTTAGAAATTCTAGTATTTCGTGACGAGAGGTTAAGGAGGGGAGGAAAAAACATCTTGAAATTAAAACTCACTTTTAAATTTATCGGATTTATTAGAGGATTCGAAAGAACTCGGGGGGATTGAAATTGATTTTATATTAATTTAAATTGACTGATTTGAATAAGCGGCCTTGCCGTGTGACAATTTCTCTTTTTTTTAACATTATTCTGGTATTAACTTGAATTTATTTTACACAAAATAAAAAAAAATTGCACAAATTAAAAACCTAGTACACCGCAGTGAAAATTAATTAATGGTCAATTTGTTTTTTTTTAAATTATTTATTTAGATTATTTAAGTATTAATTTGAATTTATTTTACATTCTTCAGTGAGTTATTCAGGAGTTAATTATGAAATTTCTTGTCATAATTTATTTTTATTTAATTGATAATTAAATTAATTTGTAATTCAGTTTTAAATTTAATCAGATTTTAATTTAATTGTTAACAAACTTTTTGGGTTAAATTTCTTTCTTTTTTGTATTTTTGTCAAAAAGATTTTTAAAAAATAGATAAAAAGTTATTTTGAAGATTTATGAAACTTATTTCAGTGAAAAGGAGAACACGAATAAATTTGGTTTTCTATAAGGTCATAAGAGATGCTAAGAATAGATGAATAATTTTGTACCCTTCTCCATTGAAGGGCAAATTATTTCTTTCTCTGATGACGTGAAACAAAATACAAATTTATATCAGAATCAGTTTACATGGATTGAGAGAGAGAGTGATTAAAATAAATTTGACATCTTAGCTAAACTCGAGTTTTTAAATTCTTTTGATAAATTTTAAACGAGAACCGAAAGTTACATTACTCGCAGTTTTTTTTAAATATTTTTATTTGCTATAAATTAAAAAATTTATTTTAAAACCAAAAATTATTAATAAAACAAATAAAACTTCAGATAAAAATTTATGATAATTTAATTCTATCCTATTTAATTATGTACCAAGTGAAATTGTAAAAATTATTATTTACTATAATATATATAATTAAGCATAATAATTAATATTAAATAATTAGATTTAATAGTAATTATTAAAAAAAAAGTTAATAAAGAAAATTGATAGAAAAAAAAATAAAATAACTTTCTTTGTTGTATTAATAAAAATCTTAAAATGACGTTTTTATTGGATTTTTCACTCAAGAGTGAAAATAATACACAGGATTTTTTGGTATAAAGGCTATATTTTAAATTTTCTCAAGTTTTACATCAAAAATTTTCCATTCCGATGATAAATAAGGGTCATTCAGAAGAAATATCATATATGTACGCTCTTGTTTTTCAAAAAGTTCTCTTCATTTTTGACTTTTAGAGAAAAATTGAAATAAAAGTATAAAAAGATGAAAAGTGCGGAGAAAAGTTTCCTTTTGCAACAACCATAATCTAGATTAAACTGCCCCGAGAAATGAAAAGTTTTTCAAGAAAGAAAGAGAGAAAGTAAAAGAAATTATTTTGACAAAAGATATAATCATGACATAAATTATCTACGAAAAAAATCTTTACTCTGATAATAAAATTTTTTTCGAGTTTGTTGACAATATAATTGTTTAGACAGCAAAATTCGGTGGCTATAATCATAATAATTGATTTTTTTGTTTTTTCATTTAAAAAAAATAAAAACTGTAATTATTTGTTATCGACAGTCGATGGGGAAGTAGAACTGTAATTATTTGTTATCGACAATCAATAAAGAAGTAGAACTGTAATTATTGGTTATCTACAGTCGATAAAAAAATGGAAATCTTAATATTGCTTGGTGGCCAAAAGACTAAATTGCCATTTCACTAAATTAAAATTTTACACAGTAAGAGGTTAGGTTCGAAACACTCAGTCGGTAAAACAGTTTTGCTGTGCGTGGTTTAGAAAAATGGCAATTTAGCCTTTTGGCCACTAAGCTTAATATTTGGAATCGACAGTCGATAAGAATGTAGAACTGTAATTATTTGTTATCTACAGTCGATAAAAAATACAACTTTTAATATTTCGAATCGACAGTCGATAAAGAAATTGAACTGTAATGATTTATTATCGACAGTCGGTAATACATTACCGGCAGTCAGAAAGAATATCGACAGTCAATCTTAAAATATCGACAGTCGGTAACTAATTACCGACTGAGCTATTGTTATCGATCATCGGTTTACAAAATAACGACCGTCGATAACAAATTTTTTGAAAATTTTTTCTTGTGTAAAATAAAAATTTTTTTAGAGTATAAAAATTGAAAATAGCGAAATTTTGTTTGTTTGTTTGTAGGTGGATCGGGCGGAGAACGAGGAGGCCCAGGGGGGAGGTCTGGCGCCATCTTCCGCTTACGGCAGCGGTCCATCGAGTTCGAGAATGGGCCCAGGGCCCGATTCTGGAAGTAGTGGTCCGTCTTCGGCCCCGCATTCGTTGGCCACGTCGCGCGACGAGGAAGACGACGAGGACGAGGAAAGTAGCGCGAGACGTACAAATAGTCACAGCGACAGATCTCGGTAAGTCCACAGAAAAACCGAATTAATAAAAACAAAAAATTTTTTTTTAATTTTAATAATGAAATTTTCAATTTTAATGATTGTTTTTAATAAAATATTCTTTACTAAGGATTATTTTTGAATAAACTATTATTTTTTGAAGATTATTTTAAATAAACTATTATTTTTTTTAAATATTATTTTAAATAATCGATTATTCAAAAAATATTTTACTAAAAAGTAAGAAAATTTATTTTAACATTAATTAAAAAATTCTTTTTTAAAGAATATTATTATAAATGAAATATCGTTTAAGGAGGTTCTATCGCTTGACGCAGCTAGTCAAAACAGTGAGAAATATTTAATGTTTTGAACTCACTTGCTAACGGCAAACGTTTGTCAACGCCGAATTATTTCTAACCTGTGATGAAAATTTTATCATTTAAATTTTGCGCTCAAATTTAATGTGTATAGTGCATGCAACGTTGCCAAACGTTATAAGTGTTGTTTATATTTTCAGATTTTTTAAAAATTTTAAAAGTGGTTTCAAAAGGTCATAAAAATTATTGATATTTTAAATACTGCGTTTTAAAAATATTTTTGGATTAATTATAATTAAAAAGCAATAGAAGTAAATAAATAACCACGAGATATAATTATTTTAATATTCTAAAAAATTTTCTAGTTTTATTTTATATTAAAAGTGCCCATATGACAAACTACTCAATTCCCATAAGACTCAATGTTAAATGTTGAAAATCAAAAATGTTTATAACTTTTTTCATAGGTACCTAGAGGTCACAAAAATTTAACTACGCCTTTATATTAACTTTATTTAGCTGCTCATTAAGTTTTATCAAAATCTGTTTATTAAATCAATTATCGATAGAACCTCCTTAAAAAAATTATTATAAAGAAAATATTATTTGTTTTAATATTATTTTAAATAAATATTCCTCTTTTTAAAAAAATAAATATAAACAAAATATTTATTTTAATATTGTTTTAAATATAAATATTTTTTTTTTTTAATATTTTTCAAGGAAAATTATCATTTTCCTCAAAAAACAAATTATATTTTACTTTTTCAAAAAGTGAATAGTAAGAAATACACTTTTTGCTTTCATAAAATATTTTTATAATTATATATGTATTTTTATATTTTAATTTATAAATTAACATTCTAAACTGATGGAGAAAAATTTATCTACGTTGAAATATATTATCATATCGTAAGAAAAAAAAATTGATTACAAAAAAGTCCTTTTTAAAAATATTTTTACATTTCTAATTTTTTTTTCTTTTGCTCAAACAATAAAATTGCACAATTTTGCGAGTGAGAAAAAAACTTTTTTTTTCGACAAACTTTAAATTAATTTTTTTGTTTTTACAAAAAGGAGAAAAAAATGTTTTGATTACAAACGAAAATTTCAAGTATAACATCAATCTATATTCCAAAGGGTGGAAATGACGTTGAGATGAGAATTTTTACACTTTTTTTTCCATCTTCTTTTTTTCTGCTTGGTAACAAACATAATCTGTAATTTCCTGAATATGGGAAACGCGCTTTCCTCCAGTCATGGACATGGCAGATGGGGATTGGAAAATGAAAAGTGGGGGAAAAAAATAATAGAATGGAGAAAAAAAATTGCGAAAGATATTTTAAAGCATTCTTTTTTATTCATTATATTTACTGTAAATTTTTCTGTTTATTTAATTTAATTTTATTTATACTATACTTTGTATAGTTGAATTAAATTTTATTTTATTCCATTTTTATTGAAATATTAGAAATTATGAAAGGGAGAAAACTTTATAAATTTTTAGAATACATGTGTAATTATAGTTTTTCTTTTCGATTGCTTTTTATGATTCAAAAGAATTTTAATTTGTTTAGTAAATTTTCAGTTTTCTTGAAAGTGTCAAATTTATACTAAAGTGGATCTTGAATGAAAAAAGTTGGTATCAATTTTTTATTTGATCCACATTTTTAGTAGCAATTCGTTGCAATTTGATATTTTTAAGTTAAGTGTTGAATTTTATTTTATAATTGTTTTTTATTAATAATGATATTAAATTAGTTTTTAATAAAAATTAAATCATATTATTTTTTTTTTAAACTTTAATCGTATTTTTTTCATTAGAAATTCAATAGTACTTTTCAATAGTTCTTTATTTCGTTTTATTCTATTATAATTTTTTTTCATTATTTATTGTTATTTATCATTATTTATTATTACATTATTTAAAAACCCAACAAAAACAATAACAAATGAAAATTGTTTTTTTACTGCTTGTCCTGTAATTTCTAGTTATAAAAGTTAAATAATAATTATTATTACTTTTACTTTTTTAAGTAGAATTTTTTCATTAACTTATACTTTTTTATACATTTTTTTTATATTTTTTTATACTTTTTACTTATACTTTTTTTAGTTTTTCTCAATAAAAAAAAATATTTAAAAAATCCATTTAAGAAATAATTTCCCATGGAATTACCCTTGGTTTTTTTTTATCAAAAGTTAATTATAATATTTTTCAGAAAAAATTTATGATTATTTTTATTTTAAAAAATTAATAAAATCCGCTTTTTGTGTAATTTTTAGAACTACAATTTCCAAAAACGTAAAGAATTGATAGATTTTATTCTTAAATAATTGGTTTTAAAAATTAAAAAAAAAACAATGAAACAGATTATTTTTTTTTATTGCAATAGTAATGTGTATTTTTATTTTTATGCCTTTGATGTGTGTAATTTATAATTTTGTGAGTGAAATAAAATGAAGAGTGAAAGAGAGAGAAAGAGAACTTTTTATATTCAGTATCGAGAGGAAGTGAATTCATTGGCCATTAAGTTTTCTATTTTTCCTGAAAGCCCTCGATGAGAGAAGCATAAATTTATTAGGATTATATCACGTTATAGAGCAGTATAATAGCCACAGTGGTGACCAATCGTTGTACCCCGAGTGATAATCACTTTCACACATACCTTCACACATTTAATATCTTTATCCATTATCCAGGAAAATTGTTTTATCCATCTTTTTTTTTCTTCTTTTTTATTTTTTTTCTCACATTTTCCATTCGACATTAATACCGACATTTTTTTTTCTATTTTCCCTTTTTGCTAAAAATGGAAATTTTTTTTCTCTTCTTTGAGTGAGAAAAAATTTTTTTATTATTATTTTCAACTAGGATTTGTAAAATAGGGAAATAGTTAATTTAGTTTGTAATAAAAAATGGTAATTTTAGAAAATTTTATTAAAGAAAAATTTTATTTGATTTTTTAACAGAGATTTTTGAATTTTTTTCCTATTTTTGGTGAAAACAAAAAGAGATGATGGGAAAAAAAGAAGGTAGAGAAAAAAATTCCAAGGTAGAAAAAATTAGGATAGAAAAAAAATGAGAAACAGAGACAAAAATTGGTTGGGAATCGAACCCCTGACGGTAATTGTGGACACAGTATCACTTTCCCACGCGGCCACCTTACAAATTCTAAATTCAAGTCAAGTAGAAAGAATTCTAACTACTTTTTGCTAAAAAAAATAATTCTTCATATTTTTTTTCATAATATAATTATTACTATTAATTTATTAGATAATAACAATTTTCTTTTATTTAAAAAAATTATTTTCTTTTCTAAATAAATTAATAAGTATGAAAAAAAATTTTTAAATTGAAAGAAATTAAATATTGAAGTAAAACGAATTAAAAAAATGGGCAAAATACATTTTTTTGTATAATTTGAAAAAAAAATTGAAATTAGAAGAAAATTGTATATTTTTTAATTTTTCGAAATGTTTGACTATAATTGAGATAAATTAAATAAATTTAGGTTAGAAAAAAGCAGGAAATAGAATCAAAAATCGGTCGGGAATCGAACCCCTGACGGTGATAATGGAAATAGTGTCACTTTTCCACGCGGCCACTTCACAAATTCTAAGTCCAAGTGAACTAATAACAATTCTAACTAATTTCTGCTAAAAAAAATGATACTTTACCAATATTTGTTTTCATAAAATAATTATTTTTATTAATTTGACAGATAATACCAATTTTTATTGTTTAAAAAAATTATTTTCTTTGGTAAATAAATTAATAACTATGGAAAAAAAATTGATAAAAGTATAAAATTGTCTAAAATGGGAAAAATATAAAAAATAAAAAAATAAAAAATAAAAATAAAAAATATAAAAAATTTGAAACAAGAAGGAAAATCTATCTTTTTCGATTATTTTTTCAATTTTTCGAAATGTTTGACGCTAATGGAGGTTGATAATAATGGAAGACAATAAATGGAGAGCAAAGTGGACAATAAGATATGTGAATGATTAGAAGAGTCGGGTTCTCTTGAAATGAAGAGGTCCAGAGAGAGTAGTTACTACCTGACGAGCCTATTGACCTATTTGCCCCACTTAAATGTGATTGCCCGATCAACTTATCGATCCCGGGGAACCATTGCCATTGGTGGCAATAAACCAGTAGTTGATTTTGCCAAATTACTATTTCCCCATGATCTCCTGAGACCCCGGGACAAAATCATCCTCATTTTCTTTTCACACGATAATCAGAAATTTTCAATAACACAAAAAAGAAAAAAAAAAGAAATTTTGAAAAATTTAAATTTTATTGAAAATAGATATGAAAATAAAAGTTCGAAAGGTGAATAAATATTTCTTTTTTCCAGTGTTTTATATTCGTTGAGGGGACCAAAAAAATATTTTTTTTTCCAAAAAGGGCCTTTTATTTTTTTTTGTAATTTTTTTCACAGGACCGGGCAGAATGGAATGGTCCCAAAATTCGAAAAATCAAAGAGGAAGATACTTGGAATTTCCTCTTGGCGTCTCCAAGTGAAATATAGGTAGGGGTTTCTGAAATAAAATTCAATGAATTATCAAAAAAAAAAGATGAAAAAAGAAACATTTTTTTACGACAAAAATGTAATTTCTGTCACGAAATTTTTTTACTGAAAATAACAGCAAAATTGAATTTGCTTTCAGTTTCTTTGTACTTGTTTTTCG